AGCTAGGTAGGAAATAAAACACTGCACGTTTTTGTCTCTTAGAATTAGGGTACTTCTCATTTAGGGCCAAGTATCTGATCCTTTGAAGTGAGCAAAAGTCTTCCATTGACTGCAGTAGTCATGGGATCAGGGTCCAAGTCTCAGTTAAGTTCAAAGTGGGGCAAATATTTAATGTTCTGAGTTCTGACATTTGTGTTCTTAGTAAAGGTTGTGTCTGAAATCATTTGCTCATACCTGTTTAATATATAGGGCACTGTGCCTCCTCCTACTTTCCATTAAAATTTGGAGAAAGGTCAGCAGTGATATGGATTATTTCAAAATATTTCTACTTCACATTTCTAGGTTCACCAACACACAGAAGAGAAAAGCCTTTAGAACAGCATAAAAAAAAAAAGTCAGATCATTAATTCAGAAATATTCTTATCCTGAGGAAACAATCATAATTAACTGCTTGCAGGAAGCTATTTTTCTTTATAGTAACTTCAGCAGACAAACTAAAACACAGAAACAAAGAATAATATATTCCAAGATCTATATCTTTGATTTCACTAATTGGCACTGGAAACATTTGCTTTCTAAAGGAAGTGAGAACTTAATAAAACAAGTGGTGTGGAGGAGTGAGGGGCATGGCTGAATAGTCAGTTGAACAAATGTGGCCAAGATCTTCAAAAGTGACAAGTAAAGGTCAGTATTAGGATTTGGGTTCCCTACTTGGGACCTGGTTGTCAGAAAGTGATACACACCTGTCCTAAAGACCAGGCCCCTTTAAAGTGTCTCAAATCCAGATTTTCAAAGTCAGGTGTAGAGTTGATCAGGAATTTTCTGATGAAACAGGGTTTCCATTGGAAAATGCCAATTTGTCGAATGCAAAATGTTTCACAGAAACAGATCAGATTTGATGAACTTTCAATGAACCACAGGTAGAGTTCCACTGGAAACCTGTTTGCTTTCCTGCCATCTCATCTGGTGGGCTTCTGTGGAACTTGGGCTTCCAGGACTGCCCCAGGGTTGAGAATTCCAGGCTTCCAGGAGAGCCCTGCCAAAATTTGAAGTGTTGAAATTTCCCACAAACTGGAAAATCCATGTTTCAGCCACCTTTAGCTGGATGAACACAATTGTTCACATACATACCATAATCACTAGTTCATGAGCAAAGTCAAGCTTTTGCATATCTAAGTGGCTACATGGTCACTGTTGTATCAATTTAGATGGAATACATGGGCTAAAGCTGTTAACATAATAACCCAGTCACCATCTAACATTAAACAGTGTTTAAACAAGTTTTGGAGTTTGGTATACAGATACCTCAGCCTGGTTAGTAACATGGCAAATACATCACTAAAGAGCCATTTAACCGTTGATTAAAAACCAAGAAGAGAAAGAAAAACTGTTAAAACATTTGAAATGTAAAATAATAAGGCTTTCATTTTAACAACATTTTTTATTCCCTTTAGCTGGAAAGAGTTTTAGAAGGAAATAAACCCCTAATTTGACAGTCTCTTACATGGTACCAAAGAGGGTAATAATTGTCAGCCCAAAGGTGTTTGGGAATCAGCTGAAGCTGGTAGGGGTGGCAATGTCATCTGGGGCACTCTCTTTCTGGCTCATCAGGACTGCTCTCCAGATCAGGGTAATGAAGGCCCAAGGTCCCAGGAAACTGAGGTAGTTAGGATCGGGAAGCTCACTCCGATAGCCTCTGTCTGTTATTCTCATTTGTTCTTCATTTTCTTCTTTTCTCCTTTCTCCACAAAATCTTTTTCTTTTAAAGGATCCAAAAAGGGAGTGATAGGTAGAATAATCTATCCTCCTCATTATTTTGTCCAGCAATTAGGCCTAATATCCAACAAACCAGTTTTGGCTCATTAAATTCTGGCTCTGCATCTCCTGTTTTTAAAAAGCATAATTTCAACTCAGTTCTTGAATTGTATCAACTTGGCATTTTTGCTTAGGTAAATTGCGTTATTCGGCCTCCCTTTTGTATCTTTTCCTATGAACAATTGCGCATAATTCAAGCTAATTTGTAGGCCCAATAGTTTAACAACACAAATTCATGATTTCACGGACATCATATGCTGGAAGTTTAAAAATCAAGGTCATGTGACCTAAAGATCTGGTGCAAAGCTCATCTGAAAAGACTGAACATTTTAAACTAAATTATTTATTATGTATTTAATATAGGGCCCAGTGCTGATCCCTTTGAAGTCAATGGCAAAACTTCATGGAAATTTTCATAGATTAGGGCTAGAAGAGACCTGGATAATGATGTAGTCTGATCTCCTTCATAACAAGGGCTTAGATTTACAGGGCAATTCCTGCTTCTAACCCAACAAGTTTTAGATAAGTTAGAGCATACCTGTATGGAAGCAGAATCAGGCCATTGACCTTTGCTTACTTTTAGCTATTTGTTAGTATGTGTCAAGGTTCCTTCCCCACTCTGAACTCTAGGGTACAGATGTGGGGACCTACATGAAAACCTCCTAAGCTTACTTTTACCAGCTTATGTTAAAACTTCCCCAAGGTACAAACTATTTTACCCTTTGCCCTTGGACTTCCACTGCCACCACCAAACTTTATCTGGGTTCCTGAAAAAACATAGTTTGGACACATCTTTCCCCCCTAAATCCTCCCAACCCTTGCACCCCACTTCCTGGGGAAGGTTTGGTAAAAATCCTCACCAATTTCCATAGGTGACCACAGACCCAAACCCTTGGATCTTAGAACAATGAAAAGCATTCAGTTTTCTTACAAGAAGACTTTTAATAGAAGTAAAAAGGAATCACCTCTGTAAAATCAGGATGGTACATACCTTTCAGGTAATTAGATTCAAAACATAGAGAATCCCTCTAGGCAAAACCTTAAATTACAAAAAAGACACACAGACAGGAATATTCATTCTATTCAGCACAGCTATTTTCTCAGCCATTTAAAGAAATCATAATCTAACACATACCTAGCTAGATTACTTACTAAGTTCTAAGACTCCATTCCTGTTCTGTCCCCGGCAAAAGCATCACACAGACAGACACAGACCCTTTGTTTTTCTCCCTCCTCCCAGCTTTTGAAAGTATCTTGTCTCTTCATTGGTCAGTTTGGTCAGGTGCCAGCGAGGTTACCTTTAGCTTCTTAACCCTTTATAGGTGAGAGGATTTTTCCTCTGGCCAGGAGAGATTTTAAAGGGGTTTACCCTTCCCTTTATATTTATGACAGTATGTATAAATATATATTAGATTAATGTAAATCTACATTACCAAAGACACATTACCACTTTTTAAATTTCCTCTATTTTATTTAGTTTGTGATATAAGTCATAGGATAGTGGACTACAATTTTTTAGTTATTAAATTAATGCAAAAGAACCATTTTGATCTCATAAAATACTACTCTATTACATCAAGTCAAATAACTAAACAATCTGTTCTAAAAACCTTCATTTTCCTTGAGGTTATTCTATTAAAGTAATTTGTTACAGGTATTAGTAGTATCAGACTTATTAGGTACTGGGGGTAATCCATGCCCAGGGCCATCTGGAAGGTAATACCCTGGGATCAAATTTTCAAACACTCCTAAGTAATTTAGGAGCTTAAGTCCCACTGATTTTTTGTGGGAAAAAACCCCACCCCCCGACCGACAAATGTTTTACCGATCAAAAGCGCCGGTGTAGACAGCACTTTACCAGTGGGAGACGCTCTCCCGCTGACAAAGCTGCTGCTCCTCATCGCGGGTGGTTTTATTTTGTTGACAGGAGAGCTCTCTCGACCAGCTATGCTGCTATAAGGTGCACAGTGTAGACATAGCCTTAGGCTCCTCATTCACTTAAGCACTTTTGAAAATGTTACACCTAGCCTTTTGGTGAAGACAAACAGAGGTCCAATGACTTGTAATTGAATGGTAGATAAATCTGTTAGAACTGTATCAAAGGTGGTTTTCCTATCAAATAACTATTCTCACCCTCCAGAGTTTATGTAATAATTCTGTTAATATTAATTAGATGATTTTAATCAATACATTTCACTTTTTAAATTATTTAGTTATGGACAAAACACAACATTGTTGTAAGTGGGCAATATTCCATTGAAGATAATGGAGTTGTACCTGATTACTATAATTCTGATTTTGACCCGAAGAGTATCCCAAAGAAAACTGCAAGGATACCATTATGTCTCCCTATACAGGAAGCAAAACCTGTACTTTGAGTCTAAAATCATCTGTGATTAAAAGACGAAAGCAAAACTGAATATTAGCAATGCTGCCAAGAGAGACTGCCATCATGCAGGTGCCTCTTTAGTTATTGGCTGCTGAAGTTCTCAGAACAAAATGTCTCCTGAGTTCTGAACAGAGGGAGCGTTCTTAGAATGCTTATAAATGCAGAACATAGGTAACAAGCAATGTTTTCACAGGTATCTCCATCCATGTCTGGCCACAGAGGCAGTTTTTGATCTCTCAGACCTTTCAGATGCAAAATCTACCCTTTTGTGACAAATGTCCATTAGGTTCTCTTAAATCCTCAATTTGAGCATCGCTCTATGGACTCTACTATGAAATTAAGCAAAGATTAAATGATTATTCTGACCAGGATGGTTAGGTACATAAAATAATCGGATAACCTGGCATGAAAAATACTGTTGACAACATTTACCAGGTGAAAAAGTGGTAAAGTCTAGACTGCTAGAAGGGACTTTATTTAAATGTGTCACACAATACAGTTGACACAGCTGCTCAGTATATTAATGTTTATCAGGAAGCTGATTAGTTAAGATTGCTTTTTCTCCACTTTCTACTAAAAATAAAGTTGTTTAAAGCTCTTGTCCAACCACAGTCAATAAGTATCCAATTAGCTATTGTCATAAATATAAAGGGAAGGTGTAAACCCCTTTGAAATCCCTCCTGGCCAGGGGAAAGCTCCTCTCACCTGTAAAGGGTTAAGAAGCTATAGGTAACCTCGCTGGCACCTGACCAAAATGACCAATGAGGAGACAAGATACTTTCAAAAGCTGGGAGCAGGGAGACAAACAAAGGGTTTGTGTCTCTCTGTATGCTGCTCTTGCCAGAGACAGAACAGGAATGGAGTCTTAGAACTTTTAGTAAGTAATCTAGCTAGGTATGTGTTAGATTATGATTCCTTTAAATGGCTGAGAAAAGCATTGTGCTGAATAGAATAACTATTTCTGTCTGTGCATCTTTTTTGTAACTTAAGGTTTTGCCTAGAGGGGTTCTCTATGTTTTTGAATCTAATTACCCTGTAAGATATCTACCATCCTGATTTTACAGGGGGGATTTCTTTATTTCTATTTACTGCTATTTTTTATTAAAAGTCTTCTTGTAAAAACTGAATGCTTTTTCATTGTTCTCAGATCCAACGGTTTGGGTCTGTGGTCACCTATGCAAATTGGTGAGGCTTTTTATCCAACATTTCCCAGGAAAGGGGGGGTGGAAGTGTTGGGAGGATTGTTCATTATTCTTAAGATCCAAGGGTCTGGGTCTGTAGTCACCTAGGCAAATTGGTGAGGCTTTTTACCAAACCTTGTCCAGGAAGTGCGGTGCAAGGTTTTGGGAAGTATTTTGGGGGGAAAGACGCGTCCAAACAGCTCTTCCCCAGTAACCAGTATTAGTTTGGTGGTGGTAGCGGCCATTCCAAGGATAACGGGTGTAATATTTTGTACCTTGGGGAAGTTTTTGACCTAAGCTGGTAAAGATAAGCTTAGGAGGTTTTTCATGCAGGTCCCCACATCTGTACCCTAGAGTTCAGAGTGGGGGAGGAACCTTGACAGCTATAAATAATAAATCAATATCTTGTTGAAAAAGGACAGAATAATTAAGATCCACTGTTATGTGCAGTCACTTCAGAGCTCAATTACACAGTACGGTAGTGATGACCCCTTCAACCACATGTCTTTAATAGCCCTTAGCAAATGGAGCTTTGTCTTTCACACACAGCTAATTCACAACAACACAGCAACATAGTCTCACTATAAGAGTGAATTTTGGTGATCTGTACATTCCTTGTTTTAGGTATCATAACACTTGTGACCATCTGTATTTCTAACTTAGTCAAGGGAGAGAAAGCAAGAGAATGGGTGAATGTCAAATTATCTAAAAAAGGGGTTTTCAATTCTTTTCAATAGCATGGATCATATCTGAACAGAATCAGTGGTCAAAGAGCAGTCCTCTCCCAGCCACAATCATGTAGATCACTTCCCCTTACCACGGCATTTGAATAGCACCCATGTTTACATGGAAAATATCAGGAAAAGTATTTAATGTATTTTCAGCTTCTTCTAATGCAATTTTGCAGCTAAAAACAAGGAGGAGTCAGCATTATGGGACCAGCAGCTCTCTGCAAACCACTGGCAACTGTTTTATTATTGGCCACAGTTTAGGAACTTCTGAAAGATTTGAAACCGCTTAGTAAAACTTTTCATAGATTCATAAATTCCAAGACCATGTTTTTTTTTCCTTTTCTCTAGCCCATTTAGGCAATGATAAACTACTCATAGTATTGTCCATAAAGTGATCTGTTTCAAAAAATACAAATAGCAACCAATCTTATAAGAGCAATTAACTGCCCTTTCAATTGTGCTTCCAAAAAAAATTTGTGCTTCTAGAGCTTGTTTAAAAAGTTGGTTTAGTGTCTTTTTGTAACCCGTAGTTTTACAAGAAAAAAATACAGATTAGAGATATCTTTTTCAGAGGTGCTGAAGCAATAAGAGTATAAGTGTTCAGCAGCTCAAAAAGTCAAGCCTTTCATGATTAATCCAAAAAATATCAAACCTGTCAATACAAATTGTCTTATCTTCTCTTTTGTATATATTTGTTGCTATGTGAAATCTCATTTCCCTTGTCCATTAAAATTATTCAGAACAAACAGTAGTGAAGATCCAAATAAAATCAGTGACTGAACTGACTTCTCTCATGCTGCAGTACCCTTTATCTCTTAGAAATGCCTTGCAAAACAAAATAAAATCCCAAATCCCAAAGGAAAGGATACAGTTTCGGCTCTGAATCTCTGTCCACAAAAATCAATGATAATACATATTAGGGAACATCATCAAAACCCAATATCCTTTCCTGTTCCTACTCCACTGAATTAATCATTTAGGGCCTCCCATGGGATTTTCTCTTACTGAGTTAACAAGACAAATGAACACACCTGAGGTCTCCTTCCTATACAGAACAGAACATGGCATACATCTGATCTGAGATTTCTTAGCAACTTAACAATAGAGATAATAGCTAGAAACTACTTGAAACGTGCAAGTGCTCACATGTTCTCACAGAATTACTGTTTACCAACATGCATTGTGAGTACTGATGCTGCAATGTCATCCTCAGAAGTCCTCTACTTCCGGAAGTGGTTCTCAGAATATCACACTGTAAGCCAATTGGTGTTTGTGATGATATACTGTCAATATTCTGAAATAATGGATCTGGGTATGATACAGGTGAGAATGAGAAAATGCAGCATTCTGGTACCATCAAACGGTATTCAATTGGGCAGCAGCAAATCTCCCATACTGTCTGTTTTGTAGTCCTTTGAAATTAGCATGTACAAACCTTCCTGAACTTGTTTGGTTTCTCCCTCCTAAGAGGAGAATGAGCTCCCTGTGGACCTGAAAAATTGATAAATGAAGTAGACAGTGAAGTTGACACTTTGGTGATTGTACAATCCTGATTCCAGAAAGAACTCTCACAACAAAATGAAAAAAGCAACCTTGACAAAGTCAAACATCATAAGATAAATAATTCTTCAAACTAATGATCAAGATCCCTAATTAATTAATTAATACTTTTAATAAGTATATATACCCATATACACATACACACACACACACACACTTTCCTATTTGTGTATTTGAGCCACGTTTAAGAAATAAACTTTGGCTTTCCAGTCATATCTAACTACATGAGGAGAGATGTTACTACCGCTCTATTATGGTCTGCCAAACACTTTCAGGAAGAACCTTGCAAAGAGAAAACTGTCCCTCTTATGAGCAAGAAAAGAAAAAAAGCATTCAAGGTTATTGGATCAGTTATATGGAGGCTAACCAAAAGAGATTGCAAAAAATGTTTCCACAGGGAGACAATTTTGTGTCTACTAGACATGCAAGACGTACCACCATCTGGCTTTTGAAAAATAGTATGCCTCTTTTCAGGCAGCCATGATCAGTTCAGATCACTTATACATTTAAAATCCAAGTATGAAACATATCATGAGAAATATGGCTCAGATTTTTCACTTTCAACCAAGAACTACTACAAAACCACCACATTTAATAAAAAGTTACCAAGAATTAAATTTTAAAACATGGCAGTAAAAAGGGATATGCTTTACAAGGGGTAGGCAATTTTCAGACAAAAAGGTGCACTTCTGACCAGTCTGATCACAAATCATGGCATTAAAACCTTTAAAAAAAACAAAAACACATACAGTCAGCTCCTCAGATGGTATAAATAGCATAGCTTTGCCAATTTACACCAGGGGAGGTGCTGGCCCATAAATCAAAACTGTCACTAATTTCCACTAAGCTAACTCAGTTTATCTTCTGGACCATTGTTGACTACGCTGATCAATGTCTGACTAGCACGCAAACTATTTCAAATTATCCAAAGCTCTGCACAGGTGAGTCACTCACAAATGGATGACACTGAAAGAGGACAGGACACCAAATCCTTAGGTAGTGTAAACTGGCACAGCTCCATTGAAATCAGCGGAACCATTCCAATTTATATCAGCTGAAGATATGGCACAGGGAATTCTCATTTTAAAAAAAATGCTTATTTAAAGATCACAGTCTCTAAGAACGCACAATAATGGAAAGCAAGAGTTTACTTATATTAAGGTGTAACTAGCTCTTAGAGAAACAAATGTTAAGTTGCCTTACTACTATCTTGACTACAGATAATGACAATTTTTGCCAGCCACACCTTACCTTTTAACACGAGGATGCCACAAGTCCACAAAATTTACAAAATCATTGTGATTTAATTGTGCCTCTCCTAATCCTAAATCATCAAAAGGCAAAATATAGTTCAGGGAATTTTTTTTTTAATATTTATTACTGTGTTCTGGGCTGCTGGAGTGTCAAATTAGCAGTAAATCATGTTGTTGCAAAATTTGGTCCCTCACCCATATTTCTGTAAGGTGACAAGTGCTAGATTAACTTTAACTATCTGAGTGAAGAAAATGCCTTTATAATAATTGACAACAAGCTTTTAAATAATTGGGACAAAGATATGATTGTAAAGAAATTGGAAAGATTATTTCTTATGGAGCTAGAGGATCTAATGGATATAGCAGTACTGACATGGACCACAGGTAAGAACAGGCATCTGACTGTCATCTGTAAATTGGAGCTGATCTCTGTCTAAACTGGGTAATGCCTGGATGAATTTGCTGAGTCCATCTTGGCCAGGACTTGAGACTCTTACTGTTGGGGATGAAAAGTATATGTTGTATTTGGAACAATTTATCAACAGTTCCTGATGCACTGGAGCAGTTATGTTAATAATACATGGGAATACTGGATCCGACATTGTCAATTGTTTTGGTTATATTAGAAAATGATCTAGAGAAGGAGGTTGATGTGATTTAGGCACTGGAGTGAGACACAAGAGATAAAGTTTAATTCCAGGCTGTGTCACAGACTTCCTGTATGACTTTGGGCAAGCTGCTGACTGTCTCTGCCTCAGTTTCCCATCTATGAAAATGAGATCATACTTCCTTTCTCTTGCTCTTGGCTTGTTTATTTGGATTGAAACCCTGTCTCTGATTTTCTGTTTGGAGAGCGCTAACACAATGTGTCCAAGCCACAGTTGGGACTTCTAGGTGCTACTTAATACAAATAAGTACATAAATGCTCAGGAGATATGTCAAGTCAACATCTGCAGCTAAAGAGCCTTAATTTAAATAACGGGTATTCATTTTCTCTTTCATGTCCTCTTATGTGATTCAAAAGACATTGTATTTCCGATTTGTGCACATTCTCCACAGAGGATACTACTAGAGCAGTGGAAAAGTATTGACAGCGACTATTAGAGCTATTTTACGAGTTTGGTCTCACCCTGTACTGAATTCTTGGTAAGTACTATCACTTGATTTTGCTCTTGGAGAGTTAAAAAAAATAATGTAGGAGATTAGCACACTGGTGGAGAACAAGATGGGCCATATTTTCATTTATACTATAAAGCTGTTAGCTTCCTTGAAAACAAACAAAACAAAACAAAACAACAAAACAGTCTGACAACCCTTCCACAACTTTGGACTGACAGCAGTTGCTGGGGATGATATCAGTTGGCCAGTTGTGGTCAAGGAGTGGCCAATTTGTTTGGTTCTTTGAGAATTTATGGACAGACCTCGACTCTATCATACCACCAAAACAGCGTACTGCATCTTGCTGTTGCCAATTATTTGATGTGCTAGAGAGATTTCAGACTACTTTCAAAGAGATAACTATCTAGATTAATTTTGTCCTAATGCTTGCAGTTTGGCTGCTTGTCTGACACAGTTCCTACTGGAATACTGGGAGGTGCTGTGTTTGTAAGTTACATAGCTTTGATGTCTATTGAAATATGTACTGAATTTTTAAAAGGATGGATCTTCAGAAGATCACAAGAGAAATGTCTGAATTGTTATTGCACCACAGCAGAGGTGGTATAAATGTTTTCTCTCAGTGTATGCTGAATTACCTAATTAGAATGGTGGGTTAATAGCTAAACCCAAGTCTGAAGTAAGTTGCATGCATGAAAAAGTTAAGATTGGAAAAGATAGCTTTCAAAAAGGGATTAAAAACACTGACAAAGATGATCCAACGAGAGCTGGAACTGATAATATAATACTGTAACCATGGCCCTGATATTGTGGCCCTCTCTCATAGTGGTGACCACTTACACTCAAAGTCCCATTGACACAATGAGCGGCACTTACATGAGGAATCAGTGTGGATAACAATTGCAGGGCCCCAAATTACTCTTCTCCATCTGTTCTAAAGAAGGATTCATGGTCCGTTCATGTTAGTTTTCTTTAGGGATGAAGGAATTTCTTCTAAATTTGCTAAACCTAGCAAATGATAGATTCATTGCCATATTAGGGAGAGATTATGAGTTCCATTTTGAAAAGAATAATTGTTTTCTTTTAGATGCTTGACGATGGAACAATGCTGGGCTTGTGGACTGTAATTCAATGCCCTACTGAACGTCTGGGTATAAAGACTTCAGCAGATGATGCTAAATCATATGTAAGAAAAAAATCAGGCGTGCTCTCCATTATAGTCCATCAAGAATTAAATCTTGGGCACAACAAGTAGTAATGTTTGTCTTTAGCCAGCTTGGATTTCTGGCATTCATCACAAGCCAGCACCCCAATTTTGTGTGGGGTGCTTACTACAATATATTAAGGTACATCTCCTGAAAAGTTTAATTGCTCGATTTCCATACTTGCCCAGCTTGTCCACAACAAATAGTCAATAGAATGTTTAATATATGGTCTGAGCACTCCATAAATTCGCTGTTTAGAGGATTATTTTTAACTTGTAGGCATACAGGGAGGGGGAAATTAGAAGAGGAACAGTAGTTATATTGATCTGAATGTTCATTAACAGGAAGATGTTTGTCATGATGACATTCTATTATTGACAAGTCAGAAAGCATATTTAATGTTATGTGTTTTAGGATAATTTGACATCTCTTGTACAGGCAGGGTGCACTTAATGTACTAGAACAAATCTATTTAGATTTTAGATATAGCAGGATATGGTTCTGATTGATTTCACCATCAGTTCATTGTGGGTGTCTTAGCCTACTCAGAAATAGTCATTGGCTCTACCTCAAAAAGCACCAGATGTACCATTTGCATAAGTAGGGAGTTATATGTAGACTTTATTTTTTGGCTGTTTCCAGATTTATGATACTAAATGATTTTGGAGACAGTTTCCTATATGTCGTGAACAGGATATTAAATGTCTTTCTAAGCTATTTGCTGAGGTATTCTAGCTAATGCAATTCCCATGGGATGAAGCTGATGTAATTTATAATCTAAATAAATATTTTATCAACTTGCAGTATCTATTCTACTAGGAGCCACGTTTTTGTCTCACAAATCCATTAAAGAACAAAAAGGCAGCCAACTTATTTTATGTTCTTTCCCAGTGATGTCCTCTATTGACCTTGACATGGACAAAAGCATGGAAGGAAACTTTACATAAACTTGTGGAGTGGAACTGATCTAAATATACAAGGTCTCTCCCTTGTAAGGAGAATAAGAAGAAACTAGTAATCCCCAAATTAGAAAATTAGAAATACAAATTTGGTTAGGAAAAAAAAACACTTTTACAAAGGAAACTATTGAAATTAAAAACAACAGACAAAAATATGCTAAGTCCTGCTGTTGCTTTGTCCTGTAGCACTCTAATAGTGTTGTAGTAGCCAGGCAAGGTACTAACAAACTTCAACAGGATTTTATTTTTTAAAGTGGAAACCCCTTTTCCAAGCTGCTGCTGCACCCTGAATAGCTCACCCTCAGCCTCTTCAACTCCTCCCCCTTCCTTCCTGTTTCCTGTCCTTTCAGACTCCCAACAGCCAGTGCTTCCAATTCTAATAATTACAAGCAACATCTAAACACCACATTCCCTCCTCTCATAAGAAACTCTCCCAATTACAATAAACGTTGTTCCAACCACAGGAACAAATAGGAAACAAGGCACTATACTGTTGGTAAAATATTACACTAAAAACACTATAGATACTACATAACATAGTCTCTAGTCCAGACAGGTGGTCGTCTGGGTCTGACAGGCCATCTCTCAAGCCCTGGTTCCAGTGCAATGTCTTGTTGTGTTGATACTATGATGAAGTCATCCAATGCAGACTGGGTGTTGGCATAATCTCTTCTTGGTGCATAGGCAGGTGTAAGATAAGAAGCATTCTATACCCTCCCATCAGAAAGTTGATAGGTGTAAGGTCCCTTCTTCTCTATGATTTTAAGAGGAGCTGTGAATTTATGGTCCCCTTTGCGTAAAATTCCAGGTAGAACCACACTGAAACTTTGTTTCCTTGGCACCCCACCGTTTGTCTGGGAAAGCCTTAGACTTTGCTTGGTTCTGTTCAACTGTTTTTCTCAATGAGCTGGTCTCTAATCATCTCATCTGCCATATTCCCAAAGTCACAAATTACAATCAGACTCCTCAGGGAAGCAATATACTGCATTAGAGTTTCCCCTGGTTTCTGCTCACGCTGACGAAATCTGTAGCGATTAGCTACTACATTCACTTTTGGTACAAAAAAAGTTCTTTAATGCAGTGAATGCAGTCTCATATTTATTGTCTGCAAGGGGAAAAGTGTAAAATAAACCCTGCCCTTCTGCTCCAAGGCAGTGGATTAGCAGAGCATGCTTTCTTACTTCAGAAATCTCTGTATCACTGATTCCAAGCAGATAAGTCTCAAACATATGGATACAGGCAGTAAAAGCAATAGAAGGCTTACTGCAAAATGCCACTGTGGAAGGTTACAGAGTAGAAAAATGTCAGGAAAAAAGAGACTGAAGAAGCTGGTTCCTTCAGCAAAATTCTCCTCGGTCACTGACCTTGAACAAAAACGTTGGTGTGCTCTAAATCAAGCAAGATCTAACAACTGTCCCAACTCTTGCCGCATCTGCCATGGATTATATGGGTCTTACAACAACTGAGGAACAGCCAGAGTGTAGAAATGCCCTGGCCTTACCTCTTTGCCCTCTGCCCCCATTCACACCTGGCCTACTTTTTACAAGTTCCCGTAACTGAGGCTCCTAAAAAGGGAGATGAACAGCCACTATATCCATGCAGGCTAGAAAAGCTCCCTACTCTTGGGCATTCTGCGTGGGAGTTCATAATTGTTTTGTAGGTTTCAGAGGAACAGCCGTGTTAGTCTGTATTCGCAAAAAGAAAAGGAGTACTTGTGGCACCTTAGAGACTAACCAATTTATTTGAGCATGAGCTTTCGTGAGCCACAGCTCACTTCATCATTGTTTTGTAGTCACTTAGTGTTACTGTAGCCAGAGTAAAGCGGACACAGTGAATAGATGAACTAAGCACAAGAAATGCTTTCTCCTTCAACTTCACCTGCAACCACCTAGGGCAAGTCATAATCTATCCCAAGGTCTGCAATCTGTACAGAAGGTTGTACCTATCTGCTATTCTCAGAACATTAAAAACCATTCAGGGAGCCAGGACTATAGAAAATGCAATACATTTCTAAAAGAAACTTACTGTCTCAATCTTAAATTCTTTCTCAATTCTGCAATGTAATATGTTGTTCATCTGAGCAATGTTACAGCACACTATAGAGTGATTTCCCAGCTATGTTTAAAAAATATTCAGCTCCTTAAATATGAATTAATCACAAGAATGTAATTATAAAATAGGTTGTTAGCCTCAGGCAGAGGAACAGACATTTTGCTTTCTACTATGCCACTTAAATAGGCAAAATATTTAAAAATGTGGGTAACAAGGAAGATATGAAGCTTTTTTAAATTAAAAAAAATATTTACATAGAGAAGTTTAATCTTAAATAAAAAATACTTCGAATGTTGTTTTACAGTGGCTATTCTACAAATGTGAAAAATATCCAGGAATGCAGTACTAGAACTTAAAACATTTTTATACGCAAATGACTAATCAGTAATTGTCAATAAAAACTAGCAGAAAAAGTCCTTTAAGGCAGCAGTTTATCTTGAATGCAAACCTGGTTCTGAAAAGACAAAGGGGGAATTCTGCACCATCAAGCCCCCGCTGCCCCCCTTTTTTTTCCTTCAAAGAACTCACATTTATGGGAATCCTAAACTGTGACTTTATGCTAAATAATTGAGAAACTTTGCAATTATGGGGAAAATTGCTCTGTATTAAAAAGCATAAGTACAAGGATGAAAATTACATTTGCATTTTGTTGACATCTGATTAGACATGCTGGTCTTAAATACTGACAAGGCCATCAATAAATTGGAAATTAATGAATGAGGTAATTCAAAACATTTCTGTATGACAAATCTTTAATGTAATTACCCTCAATAATGCCATTTCAAGACAACGAGCATGGGGTAAATATACTCAA